AAGCAAAATATGTCTAAACCTTCTCTGGGTAACATGGGCAACTCCTACATATCGCATTCATTCATCAACTGGATAAATCTTGTGGGATAACTACTTCTAACAGACTAAAGGGCATACTTAAATGGAAGTAGGCAGAGWGCAGGACCATTTTCAACATACAATAATGATGTATATTTGAAAAATCTGTATTTTCGATCTAATTCTAAACCTGTCAAAGCTAAGAACCCATTGACTCTGCCAAGACTCTTTTTTGAGCCACCCTATGCCTTGCCTAGGCATTTTTATATTAGGGTTTTACAAATTTTAAGTGTATAAGCTTCCTTCTTCAACAATTTTCATCAACTTCTATAAACAAAATAGAGAATCATCTCTATCTATGTCAAATCAGGGGTTCTTCCCCTTCATTTGTTTTCTCCTTCTTTTATCTAAACACTCCTCCGTCTTTCCAACTGGGACAACCCCCATCTATTGTAGCCCAAACATAGTCACACATTCTTGTACATCTTTGCTGAATTTAACAATAACAAGGGCTTTGTCCCTTTGTTTGTTTGCTTTGTTCTCTATTGTTCATTTTATCACACACAAACACAAATGCTTCCTTGCAATAATAGAGTAAGGTGTCCACCCTCTAGGTTTTATTTTTCATAGATTATGCTTAATCATATTTAACATGTTCCCTTTCGATCACTTTTAACATTTGCTAGTTGCTACTTTAATTAGGGAAACAAATTGCTGATTAAAAAGCTAGAGGAACATTTTTTTTGATAAATGCTAGAGAAACAAATTTTGGTAGATGTTTTTTTTTATTTTTTTTCATCTTGAAGCTGATTCTCTTTTTTATTGATGAAGTTGATGCTCATAATCAGCTTGCTGTTGGACCAATGGGTCTCCTTGGTTTTGATTGTATTAGCCACATTGAGGCTAGCAAAATTGGTGGGTCTCTATTTTTTCAAATCCCTTTGCATGCACACCTGGTGTAGCACTACTTTTCTATCCAGTGAAGACGCCTTTGGCAGTTTCTTAACTGTCAATCCAAGAGCTCTGGGTTGGTCTTATTAGCTTCTACTTATGTTCTTATAGATGCAAAAATAGGCATTTATTTTAGTTGCCTGGTCTGCTTGACATGGAGGTTAATAAAAGCAAATGCATCTTCTGAGGTTAACCAAGGAAGTGGAGAACTAATTCTACAGTTTGATGTTGATGGGAAAGGGGATAGAACTAAACTTGAGTCTTGAAGAAATGAGGAGCAGTTGAGCAAGGTCCACATACAAGCTTTAATAGTAAGAGGGAGAAATCAGGCAGCCATAAGAGAATAGTAGGGATAAAGTAGACAGTGCATGCAATGAGTAGAAACGATCTCTCTCTGTCCTGTGATTCACAGGCTAATGCCAAGTGAGTCAAAGAAGGTCAGCCCTTTGGCTCAAACCAGAGGTTGGGCTCAATCCTTTTCAACTTTTAAGGGTGAGCCATGTGATTACTGTTACAACTTGCATTCAACTGATAAAAAGTTAGGGCATATGGCTAGTAGGCTTTAAATTTCTCAGATAAAGTGTGCAAGCCATCAATCTGGAACTTGGATGTGGCAGTCACAGTGYAAATAAGCTTGTGAACAGATCAAGAGATAGAAAAATATATTCTGGTTAATGAGGTTGATGCTCATTCGCTTCCTCTTCCACGTCAACCACTCATCCATGGCAGTAAAGGTAATGGATTATGGCATGAAAGAAGACACACTAGGCACATATCAAAAGATGACAAGGAGCTTGTAATGATGAGGTGGTTCATTTGGGGGAGAGATGTCAGTGACTAATCGGAGCCTGTGATACCCAGATACCAGTAAATGCATAGCATACTGGAATATGGCAAAAAAGGTAATAGATTATGGCATGAAAGAAGTCACACTAGGTGCATATCAGAAGATGACAAGTAGTTTGTAATGAGGTGGTTCTTTCAAAGCCTGTTATACCCAGATACCTGTTATGCATAAGACACTGGTGTAGGACACTCACCTGATACAACAAGACAACATATACTGCATGGACACTTCTAGGTTACACTTTATAACATTAACAATTTTAAAAATGTAAGACTGCACGCCTTAATAAACCATGCCTAAAAGATCTTTATACGTAAAAAATTAATTTAACAAGATACAAGCATTGAGGATACTTAGCTTCAAAACTAGATATACGAGCAATGATATAATGGATACCCCAACCTATATCCACAGAAATCATATCCCCATTTCCCATCAGTTAAGAAGTGAAACACCATGAGAAGCCCAAAACCCCAAGAAAATAAGATCAACAGGAGAATCAACAATAAAAGATGCCTTATTCAAGTCCTATTGACTGGGTGAATTGATTTATGCACATATCAAAGCCCTCATTCGGGGTCTTAGGTTGATGGCTTTATCACTTCAGGATCAGATGGTAGTAGAAGGTAATTCACAGGTTATGATTAGATGGTTTGAATATGAAAGTGAGAGTCCTTTGGCTTTTCAACATATAGTCAGAGGCAAAACCCTTGGCTTAGTGAACAACTCATTCAGATGGACTACAATATCACCCAACACTTTGGCAGATAGTTTGGTACTTTGGTTAGCTCAAGGAGAGGCGATAAGATCTTATTTTATTAGTCAGCATCCTTCCCAGTAGTTTTCTTGTATCATTTTAATAGAGGTTCTATGTTGTTCTGCCTTCCATGGATAGAGTTGATTTTTTACCTTGTGTTTGTCATGATCAGTGCAGTTTCTCTTACCAAAAGAGGGAAAATAAAGCAAGACAAAATTGAACAAAGCATTTCTTTTCCCTTTCTTCCATTTTTAGGAGAAGGGAACACGTAAAGAAAACATCAATGCAGCAGATAGAACTCTCATTTTTACCAATAAGTGGCAATATCTCAAATAAGAAATTTGCTAACCAGAGCATTCTTTTGTCCACGTAAAGAAATGATTAAACTGCTTTTTCTCCATTTAGTCAACTTGAACAATTGAGCATCATCTAGGTTGTTGAACCATGACCATGTAACATAGCAACCAAGAAAACAATATCACTGTGCTATGAACAACAGCACAAATTTGGGTCAAAGACCCCAAGAGAGGTTCAACCTTGTAGCCATTAACCAACTGCCTACCAACTGTTTTCATAGTTTAGGTTATATAGAGTTTTATGTGCTCTACATAACCAAATTGTGCATGCAACAAAATAAAATCTTAGGACAGAGTTCTTAAGTAGCCAAGTCCCTTCCCTCATTGAACTCAACCCTCAACCAAAGAAATAAAGAAAAAGTTTGCACCTCCATTATCATTAAATCATCCAGCAAAACTTGTAACTCAGCCAACTAAAAAAGCATTTAGAAATATTTTATTTCTTCCAGATTTATATTCACTTATTCTTCTAAATAAGTTTACTTTAATTTTTTTTTCAACATTGACACCTTACTTTGCCTAGGTGCAAGGGCACATGGCACCTCAAGCCCTAGAAACTCCTTGTGCTTTATTTATGCTTCCCAATTTTAAAATACTGCACCAAAGGTGAAGGAGATAAATTTAATTTTGATGAACCAAATTGTTGTAAGACAATGACAAGGAGACAAAACATTTGGGATACCATTACTGTCACATATCGGTATTTTTTACAAGAAAATCATTGTATAATTACAATTGGAGGAGTGTTCAAGATTTTCCAAGTTTTTCCCAAGCAAAATTTAGCTTTCTAAGAACCAAAAAATCCCAAAACATTGATGTCTGATTATCCAAAAATAAAATGAATAGATAGAAACTATAATAGGAATTGGGAAAGGAAGGAAACAGAAAAGTTTTACTACAGGATAGAATATGACAGACAGACATTTTAACCATGTTTGTGGTATTTGTAAAGTCATAATGCACTGCTGGAATAATTGATAGTATTGAGATCTCTGTGCAAGTGGGCATGTAACTTATTGTGAAACGCAGGCATGTACCTTGGAACAACTTGTCCATAATTGCCTTCCATTTTCTTAAATAAAATCTTATAGACTACATCGATACCAATGCCTATCAAATTTCAAGGTTGAACAGCTTGCTCTACCAGTTTTTACAGACAGTATAAAACACTTTCTGGCACACAGGATCTTTTGCCTAAGATGGCTAATAACGAATCCTGCCATTATATTCCATTTTGCCTTGTAATTGCCTTGAAAACTTTCTCCTTTCTTATTTGCCCTTTAACTAGGAAAAACAACGAAACTGTTTCAAAAGGAATTCTAACTTAATAAGCAGATCCTACATGCAAGAGGCCATCAAATAGACTTTCAAGATCACTTGCACTGAAGCAGTACTTACTCATTACAACTTTGACTGAGTGACCCACTAACAAGTTAACAACTCAATCCACTATAAATTCAACCCACTAAAAGCCCCAAAAAGTTCTAATAACAATCGTAATTATGTTAGATGTTCCAACTCCCTCTGAAATAACTCCAACATTTTGGGTTAAACTAAAAAGGTTTATCCACCTAATCAAAGGACTAAACGAAGATTCCAACAAAATAAGGCTAAATATCTCAGAAAATCATGTCGGTAATTGAACAACCGAGCAGAGGAACTCAATCAGGGAAAAGAGAAGGGGAATGAGAAAACCATAATATCAAAACTTAACTGCAATATCTCAAATGAAAAATCAGGAACCAAACCAGTCAAAATTATTTGAATGACAAAACCCTTCTCTCTCATCCCTCAAAATGGGAAAAGACAAAATGAAAAAGCAGAAACCCCAATCACAACGTCGAAAGAGAACTACCCAGAAAACTTAACAGGAAAAAAAAAATCAGAAACCCACACCCAAAGCCCAAAAAACAAAATAGCACATCACCAGAACCAATCCACCCATCAATATGCCACCAAATCACCTCAAAGAACAACCTAGAAAGCCAATATCAAAGCAGACGAAGCAAATCAAATTATTAACTACCAACAACCCAATGACAGAGGAAGGAACATCCAGATAAGAACTTACAGCAGGGAAGCGGGTATCTAACTTCTTCCTCATGGCGTCAGAATCTGCCCATCGAAAGCTCCAAAGAAACCCCAAAACAGAGAAGCGATTCCAATTCCAATCAACCCACTGTTCTCCCTTATAACACAGAAAACCAACTTCAGATCCTATGATGTTTACAGAAAATCGGAAATCTATCGATCGTTCCGTCCAACTCCCGCAGGAAAAGAAAATCGAAAATACAAACGGAAAGAAAAGAAAACAGTAATTTTGCTTCGTCGTCTCAAGCCGAGAATTTCGGAGTCCAGAAGCAACAAGACCTCCTTTTTCCCTGTATTAACTTCTTTCAGTCCTCCAATTTAGCGGAGATTCTCGTTCTCCCCGTTTTATCTAACCATGGTTAGTGCGTCAGTTAATTTTTCTTATTTTTACCGATCTGATAATCATCCTAGTCGGCGATTTTCTCGAGGCCTGATTATCYKTGAACGGATTTCTTATAAAAATTGCTCTGTGTTATTTGAATTGAGATCTCTTCTCACAGCCCCATCCCACCGTGTATTAGTAACATCTCTCCATGAATAACTATTACAAAGAAGTATGGGAGACATTCTTGACATGCGGTTGGGATGCAATGTGAGGTTGGTGTGAGGAGTACTCTGGAAGGAGTAGATCCATATTGGTGTTATTTTATGCAAGGTTCAAAATATTGGTATTGGGTATCATGTCAAACAACTAGAATACAATATAGATACGTTTTGGAAATGTAAAGATATGGGTAAAAATATGAATACACTAAGAAAATATATACAAATTTCATAAATACATTAATAGCATTAAACATAAAATTAAAATATCTACAAATAGTACATAAATAAATACATAGTTGATGTGCGATCTGACTACTCCTTGTTGGAGGATGATCTGGCTTCTAGTCGAGCAACGAGCTAGGTGAATCTGCAATACAATGAATCAGAGAACCCGGGGTGGTTAACCCGGCGAGGTCGCTCTGATGCTTAAGTCAGTAAACTGTGATGCGAGCTAAAAAGCTTTAAGAGCTAGAGAGCTAGAGATTAGAAAAATCACACGTACCTTGTGTCATTGGGGTTGGTGCCTTTATATAGTTGAACCCTCGCGGGTTTTGCGGATCGGTTCTGGGATCTTCGTCCTGATGGGATCTATTTCCGCTTTAATTGGGGAGTAACGCTATCCATTAATAAAGATTATCAATTCTGCCCGATCCGGGCAGAGAGAAGATTAGGCCTACCGTTATGCGGTGTGATCCCGTGGGGTTCGGAGTCTACTGGAGAAACTTCCGGGATCGTTACATGGTGATCCAGGTCGATAGCCCCGAGCTGATACTTGTCGAGGTGCCTTGATGCTGAGGTGACTCTGCGCCGAGGTGACCCTGTGCTGAGGTGATTGAATACCCGAGCTCAATTGTTGCGAACTAGGCTTGCCGGGCTGAGCTGTCATCTCTTAGTCAGGCCGTGTCCATGWGTCCCCTTCTYGCTAGGTCGCGCCAAATCACCCTTCATCAATTGCCCCCACTCCTCGTACCAGGGGTCCCAACCCAGTGCGATGAGTTCATGGACGATCTAGGTGGATTTGGCGCGAGGTCTGACAATCTGAAGAGCGAACCGCTAGTCGGGCCTATTCAATCGTTTGGCTCAACCACGAAATGACCCAAATCGYGTCCCGGGTGTCGTGCAACCTGTTTTCATAAGAGCCATTGGATCGAGTAGATTTCAGTCGTTGATCGCCACGCGGTGAGCTATAAATAGGGGGCCAAGGGACCCCTCTTCTTCGCCCAAAATCTTGTGATTGAGCTCTCCCGAGGTCGCGTCGGAGTCCTTCAACTCACCACTTCTTCCCTTGTGTTTCGAGGTCGCTTTCATCATTTTTTGTGAGTTCGTCTTTTCTTCCTTAGTTTGTTCTCCTTTCCTGTTCCTATTTCAATATGTCTAGTGCTAGCATAGATAGGCTTCTTAGTGACTCTAGTGGGCTTGAGGGTGCCGAGGTGCAGTCCTCGGCTCTTGTTGGTGAGGTCAGCTCCTCGCTAGGTAGTTCCCCCCTCGCCCCTTAGGAGAAACCTCTTTACCCGAAGTCAGGCCATCTCGGCTTGAGGAGCTTGCAGCTCGGGAGGAGGGACAGACCTCCAGAGAGGGGGTCCCTTCTTCTTCTCGGGGTCAGGATCCAGATGATTTCAGGCCTTTTACTATGACCTCGGATAGGCTACTGCCCTTGGTAGCTCATTATCATCTTCCCAATAACCTAGTTTTTAGTATTCCTTTGGGTCGGTACCCTTGGGTTCATGGTCATCATGAGCTTGCAGTTTTCGAAGAGTAGCTTGTAGTTGGGYTGCGCTTCCCACTCCACCCATTCATTATAGAAATAATTAAGTTCTTTGACCACCATCGACTAATTACACCCAAACTCCATCCAAACTATAGTAGGTAAAATCCCTATTCCACGAGTATAACCGACCTCTGTCCTTAGATGTTTTTAGCTCAATCTACTCAATCAAAAAGAACTCTGCTTGCCTGCGCAGGGACGTCCAATAGAGTTACTACATTTCTTCTCGCCCCGGGTTCAAAATCCTGTTCAATAGCCCGAACAAAATACCGGCTTGGAAGAGGAGATACTTTTTTGTCCGGAACCCTGAGGGGTGGCCCTTCCCGACTCACTGGCGGGTGGCTATTAAAGACCCCGAGCTGAGGCTAGATGCGGAAACCAGGGCGGTCGTTAACTCCTGGAGGGACCTCGGCCTGGAGATGAGAGATTTCTTGGCCGAGGAGAAGCTTGTGCGAGCTGGGCTGAGCCCTCCTGGTAGGCCTCCACCTCGGTACTCATATTCTTTTTTACTTCGAATTTTCTTTAGCTCGCGACTAACCTTTTCTTTTTCTCTTGCAGTAGCCATGCCGAAGGTCGATGCAGAGAACCTTCTGAAGAGCTTCCAGAGAGGGAAAAAGAGGAAGGCCTCAAAGAAGTCCCACCGGGAGTGAAGGGATGAGAGATCCATCATATGGATGGCCAAACCCTGCAGGTAGGTTGGGCAAAACTTCAAAAAATTTCTCTCTCCCATGTGAGAATCACATTCCCCATTTTAGAAAACTGTCTTTTCAAATATCAACCTTGAACCTAAACCAGACCAGATCTGAAACCAAAAGATAGGAGAGGGATATACCTGATACGGAGTAGTAGTAACCCCCAACAAAAGTGTTCACACCCAAGGAGAATACCAAAGACAGCTCCCACTGAAGATGACACAACGTAGGGTGGAGCAGAATCAGTAGGATGGTTCTTCAACAAGAACTGAATTCTTCAGTAAGAACTCGACGGAGGGCAGGTGAGCACGACTTCTAATTATCTTTTCTCCAAAAGATAATATCAAAAACCCTTCTTGATCGCTCCTACAAGTGGAGATCGAACTAACAGAGGCGGCAAGATCAGGAAAGAATAGAAATCTGAAGCAGTCGAACTACAAGAAYTCTTTCTTGTGATTTACGAACCAGAAGATCTCTCTTCTTTTCTGTGTCTGTGTGTTTTTGGTTCGCCCCTTTCTGCTCTATTTATAGCCTTTAAAGAGAGGTTCTC